GTCTGTATTCTCTGTCCATGAGTCTATTTCTGTCCTGTATTTATGCTTTGTTTTTGTTTGTTTGTTTGTTTTTGTTTTTTAGATTCCACATATGAGCGATCTCATATGGTATTTTTCTTTCCCTTTCTGGCTTACTTCACTTAGAATGACATTCTCCAGGAGCATCCATGTTGCTGCAAATGGCATTATGTTGTTGGTTTTTATGGCTGAGTAGTATTCCATTGTATAAATATACCACATCTTCTTTATCCAGTCACCTGTTGATGGACATTTAGGCTGTTGAAAGGATGTGTTTTTTGAAAGTGGTTTTTCTCAGGAAGATTGTTGTCTAAAAAAATAATATAGCCTAGTGGTAGAGCACAAACTTAGTATGCACAAGGTCCTGGGTTCAATCCCCATTAAAAATAATAATTAAAATAATAATAATAAACCATTAAAAATAATAATAAACCTAATTACCCCCCCCAAAATTAAAAAGTGGAGTGGTCATTCCTCACCAGGGATAAAACACTGGCCTTGAGCGTTTGCAACATCTAGTTAGGGAAGTTTAGTTCCTCCTGGTGGGGCTGGAATGTGGAGGCCCAGACACGCTGGGCTGCACTCTGCTGAGGTTCCCTCCACAGCCACAGCCACAGCCCTAATGCCTCCTTCCCTGTCCTTACTTTCCTTGGGCAAACCCCACCCACATGGAGCCCAATAAGTGCCCCATGATTTGTCCCCTACCCCAAGTGCCAGCAATGCTGTTAGAAGGTCATCTCCAAGAAAATCTCTCCCTTTTCCATCTCTGGCATTGGGAGAAGGAAGCTGGAGTGAGGCATAGACAGCTACTAACTGGCTTCCCTACCCTCCTCCCCCATGCAACCTCACTTTATTGTATAAAGCTTCTCCTATGTGTCTGACATTTTTCTCTCTGCTGGAAGCAAAACCAAGTATCACAGTAACAGTAATAACCAACAACCCCCCTTCCCCCTCCCCTACTAAAAATGTCCCATGTTCCAGCCTCCAAAAAGCCCCCTGGCAGTTACAACACAGACTGATTGTGCTCTGATAGGAGTGAGAACAGGGTGCTGGAGGAGCACATGGTGGGGCCAACTACCCAGGGGGCCAAGGGGAAGCGGAGGTTCCATTTGAACTGGAAATGGGAAGAGGAGAGGGCCAGGGAGACAAGAAGTACCTAGTCTCTGTTTGGTGGGGGAGGGTGAGTGGAGAGAGGAGGGTGGGGAGAGAGATGACCCACTGCTCTCCACCCCCACTGACAGCCAGAATCTGGAGGAAGCGGTGAGCATGAGGCAGTGAGGAGCCATGAGGGGAAAGCCCAAGGAAACTAAGGCCTCTCCTTTCCTTGGGGTCAGTGTGATTTCTGACATTCTCAACTTCCTCCCAGAGCACGTTCCTCTCTAACCCTCAAAGGCTGGAGCAAAAGTACAGTCTCTGACAACTCCAGACCCTGACCACTTGGGTTCAAAATCATCTCCATTTTAAAGTTGGGAATCTGGGACCCAGAAAGGTGAACTGACTTGCCCAAGATCAAAAACAGTTGGAAAGTGTAGAGCTGTGTTTTCCTGTTCCTAATCCAAAACTTTAAACAAGTTTTCACTGAAACTTTCTTTCAATTATGAAGGTCGAAGGGGCTGTGGACATCTGAGCCCTTCGCAAGGACACAAGAACTCAGGAGTGTGCAGTGACCAGCTCTCTCAGTCTATACGGAGGCTGATTTTAAGGAAAAACTTGCCTCAATCCAGTCCCGTGTGCAGCTCTAAACCATAACAGGTGCATGGCAGCCCCTTTTCCGGCCACATGAGGACAGCATTGAGTCACTGATTGTCTCCAGCCCCGAGCCTGCACTCGGACAGGAAGCCCTTCTGGGGACATTCTGGAATGGGAAAGAGAGACCCATTGGCAGTGTCATCTGGAAAGATAACCTGGGGACTTTGACTCAGGTCACAGGGTCAGAGTTCTGACTTTGCACCCTCAGTCCCAGTCTTCTCTGAGGCTGGGCCCCTCTGGTCCTTTTCTCTGTTTTCTGGTTCCCTTTGTCATGCTCCGACTCCCCATTTCTGCCCACCCTAGCCAGGCTCCTCTTCAGGAAACAATTGCCATGGTGACCAACTGGTCAGCTAGCTCCTACCACATCCCCCTCTCTTCAGCTCTCTTTACCCTGGGCTTCTAAGGAAGAGTAATGTGTGTGTATGGAGAAAAGGGAGGTGGTCTTTTATCTCCTGGGAACTCTGAGGTTGGCCAAAAGAAGTTCGGCTATCTCTCTTGCAAAGCCCCCTGAAGTGGAGTTAGGAAGGCATTGGGGATGGGGAAGAGGAGGAAGATCAGAACAACTAAATGAGGAATGTGAGATCCTATATTGGTTAGGAAAGGCCAGGGTTAGGAACTCTGCTTTCTGTCTGCAGTGAGGACTGAACTAGGTGGAATGAAGTGAAACCAGAGGAAGAGGGTTTGAAGTCAGCCACAAGGCAGGACTTCCCAAAAATCATGGGTGGGAGAGAAACATTGGAATGAGCCACCAAGTGAGATTCTTCCTCTGCTGTGGGATGAAAATGATCCATGCCTTTTGGGACCATACCCTTCCTCTGTTTGGGCAGGGAGGATGGACACACTGACCCAGGGAGGATCATACAGGCTGGACAGTTCTGAAATGATAGGGGGACTGAGACCCATCTTCACTTTGCCTTGAAAGGGAAGAGTAGAAAATGGAGGCAGAAGCAGGAGTAGGTGTGTGTGTGTGCGTGTGCGTGTGCGTGTGTGTGTGTGTGTGTGTAGTAGAGGCAGAAGATCTTCTGCCCTAGATGAAAGGCAGGACCGTCAGCAGATCAGTGTGCTTGTCCTCTATTCCCAAAGATCAGATATCCAGGCTTTGCCTCAAGCTGCCTTCCAGCCCTCAAAGATCCCCATGGACTTTTGAATGGGAAAGATCTGGATTCTTGGACCACCCTGTAAGTACTGGCAAGTGACTTTAAGTTACTCACCCTCCCTCTGCTTTGGTTCTTTGTGCGTAAATGGGGAGAGTCACTATATGTCAAAGACTCTACTGTAGCACACGACACACAGTAGGATTCCACAGTGACAGTGCACACATAGATTGATCAAGCATAGTCTTTAGTCTATTCTATCATAGTGATTGGTTTCCATGTCCTTCTTCCCCATTAGACTTTGTGCTCCTGGAGGAAAGGAAATTGTGTTTTCTATTTCTGAACAGGGCACACAGTAGGTATCTAATACCTGTTTATTGAATGGATGCATTCAGGAATGAATGAATGAATGAATGAATGAATGGCAGTTTCTTTTCTGCCCCTAGGTGGGGCAGGGAAAAACACTGTGGGTGGATGGCATGAAGGGACAGGCGACTTGCGGTCACTCAGCCTGGGCTGTGGTCTCTGACTTTGCCTCCTATACCCACAGAAGAAAATCAGAGCCTTAGAGATTGTCCGCTCAACTTTGTCCCTGCATAGATGAGACAACTAAAGCTCAGAGAGGGAAAGGCACTTGCGCAAGGTCACACAGCAAACGACAAAGCCAGGATTAAGAATTTGACTAAGGATGCCTTATCTCCAGCCTAGGCCAATGTTCACACTTCATTGCTTCTCTGGGGCTGTTCTTCTAGGGTAGGAAGATGGTTTGATGAAAGCTGGTTTCAATGTCTCCTCTTCTGTCCTCTGTTAGAACTTTCTCACATCTAGCTCCAATCCTTTTCATTTCACCCTATTCCATCCCTGTTCAGCTGCATCTGGCCTCTGAAGTCTGGCTCCTGTCTTAACCCTTTACCATCCAACTGGGAATAAGGCTCTTCCCTAGGGATCCAAGACTCAATTTTCTCTCCCCACCCTCACCCCCAGGAACTTCCAGGAACCAAAAATGGGGAGGGATGTTGGTTGAACCGCTGGCACCCCCTCCACGGAGTATAGACGAAGAGGAGTTTCCGCTTAGATCTTCCTAGGATGGTGGGGATGTGTGAGGTGAGCAGGGCTAGGAGTGGGGAAGGGGTGTAGGGAGCCCTTGTTGCTTTTCCC